GTTGCTTCTCCTAGAACAGGGATATGGAGGAATAGAGAACAGAATGGGAAGGATCACATCAGTCAGGACCTTGTCCCCAGGGCCAGGCATTGAGTACACATTCAGTAAAAGTATAAAGGGGCTGATGCCAGAGAGGCCATGAGCCAATTGCTGGTCAAGTGTCAATTTTAGACTTCTCCACCTTCCCCCATTTCAGCTTATCCTATATGCTGCAATTCTCTGCAGTCCCAGTATCACATGATCCATCTATAATTATACCTACTTTGTATGCTTCCCAGGAATATAAGCAGAAGGATCCTGAAAAGGACAAAGCCCCCAACAAGACCCTAGAGCTACTAAGAAGCAACAGTGAATCTGAGCCCACCAGACCCAGATCTGAAAGGACCCAGTTGATGGGGTAATGGATGAGAGCAGCAATGATAGCTAATATGTCAGGAGTAAATATTTGAAATATGCCAAACAGTGCCAAGGCTGGTTGCATATAATCCTCTGGAATCATCACAGGAACCCCACTCAGAGAATAGGGCAGTATATTCATTTTCGGCTGCTATGACACCATAAACTGGGTGACTTAAAGGCAACAGAATTTTACATCTACCCCCCCCCCAATCCAGTTGGGGATTGAATTCAGGAGTGCCCCCCCCACCCTCAAACTGTATCCCCAGCCCTTTTTATTTATTTACTTTATTTGAGACAATTTCACTAAATTGCCCAAGCTGGCCTTGAACTTTCCATCCTCCTGCCTAAGCCTACTGAATAGTTGGGACTGTAGGCATGTTGCACTGCACTTGGCCAGAAATTTACTCTTCATGTTCCTGAAACCAGAAGTCCAAAATCAAGACATTGGCAGGATTAGTTGTTTCTGGAGACTCTGGGGAGAATCCATCCCAAGCTTCTTTTCTATCTTCTGGTGCCGGGAACCCGTGGTGTTCTTGACTTGGAGATGTATCACTCCAGCTTCTGCCTCCATTTTCACATTACATTCTCCTCTCCATCTCCTTGCCCCATCCCTATCCCTTCCTTTGCCTCTCCTCAGGACACTTGCATTCTCATCCTAAAATTTATGCCTTAATTGTATCTACAGATGCTTCTTTTTTTTCCCACACTCAAAGGTCCTGGAGGTTAGGACTTGGACATATCTTTTGGAAGGCTATTGTTCACTCCACTGCAGATAGTAAGGAACTTGTTAAAAACCATACCATCAGCATGTGGTGGACACAGGGGCTGACCTGACACATTTAATACTGGACCATTTAATACCAGACCTTTCCGAGATTTTAGTGACTAATATGCATTATGAATGTCCAAGCATAGAATTAGCATGTAGCATTTCTCAAACTCTTTTGTTGACAGGTTTTTTTTCCCCCTGAAACCAATTAGCAGTTTATTTAATACTAACATTTCTTCAAACATGATGTAAGAAATGTTGGCTAGATATTTAAAAAATTATATTTAAATATTCCTTTTTATTTTTATTAAAGGAACGAATGCACATGATTTAAAAGACCAATAGCACAGAAAAGTTTACTACCAAAAGCATCTTCTCAAGTCAGCCCTACTCCTCAGAGACCAACACTTTTCTTTCTGATTTTAGTTGTTTGGGTGGATTCTTCCATAAGTGAACTGATTTTATTCCTATTTCTCAATTTATAAAATTTAGGTTGTTACTTCTTTGCCATGAAACTTTGAGTATTTATTCCACTGCTATCCCTTCTCTGACCTCTCAAATTGATGAATATATTATTTAAATCCTTTTATTGATTATCTTTTTAACTCTCACCCTGTTTCTCACATATTTATTTCTTTTGTACACTGGATCTTCCACTTTTCCATGAAATTCTCTGCCAGGTCCACAATTTAGTCCTATGAGCTTGGCCTATAATATTGATCCGGAACACTGACATGTGGTGCTAGGGTTTGTGTGACCATGACTTGGAAGTTCACATCTGTCTTCCAGGACCTGTGCTGGAATCACATTTCCTTCTGCCATCTCATTGGGTTGTTCTGAAGGACAAATAATGTGACACATGAAAAGCTCCTAACACAGTTTTTTGATTTAGAGCCCTTCACTGATTGCACATAATCATGGTATTTTAGTTTGCTTCTGATTTGGACCACAGTTTTTTTGTGTCTTATATTTATCCTGTAGTTTCTAATTGCCTCTCTTTTTTTTCCTTTAAAGAATAGTAACGTGCTTTCTCTGTGTCCTAAAGTTTATCCAGCCTCTTGGTTGTACTTTCTGGTACACAGAACTCACTTTCTTCCTGGAATAGCCTCCCGTGAGCCCTGGTCTACTGTTCTCGTGGCCTCTGAGGCCTCAGCTTGTTCTTGACCTGAGATGCCCCTTCACTATTTACTCATGTCTCTAGCTTCTCAGTTTTCTCTCATTTTTGCTGGAGCCTGTGAGATGTGAACTTGTAAGTCCCTAATCTGCTTCTAGCATCCGTTGTGACTTAGGAAAAGACTGGTATTTGTCCCAGCGTTGTTCCCTCATAGATAACCTGGTATTTGTTTCTCCCTTCCCTGTTTATTAAGTTTTGTGATCTCTTCTTTTTACTCCGGGGTTTTTACTTTTCAGAGATTCTCTCACAGCAGGGGCCACCTTTCCTCACTTCCCTGCCCACTTTTGTTAGTCTCCTGACTTGGTTAATGTCTTCTTGGTATTCTCCTTCTCCTTCCCCACCCTCCCTCTTTTATCTTTTTTAAACTCAAACAAAAGCTATCTTATTTTGTTGTAATTTCTTGTGCTCTTTTTTTTCTTCCCTCTATTTTCCCAATCCATACCTTCTGTTAGATAGACATTGACCTCCTGGATCAATTCCCTGTAGCTTTCAACTTTTAGCCCCTCCTATTTAACTGTCAAATAGATATGGGAAATGATGATGGCTACTTGGTTTTCAAAGTCCCCAAAATGCCCTTCCCCAAAAGAAGAGAAATAATGAGAATAAATTCAGCCTCACGTAGACCTGGGCTTCAGCAGTACTAGGAAACAGAACACTGCAACATTCATATTTTCTGGGATGCTTCCTTGCATATATTTCCAGCTTTTTAATGGAATTTTTTGTTTGAGCAGTGATATTTTCAATTTCTAAATGTTATTTTTTTTTGTTGTGGTGATGGTTCTCTGTGGTGTTCTGTTTGCTTTATGCATCAAATTTTGACTCCAGTTCCTCAAAGAATTACTMATTAGAATTGTTAGGTTAACTTTCTCTTCTGTTTCCTGGCTTCACTCTTTTTCATCTGGAATTGGTGATTTTGTTGTTCTTGGCCTTTCCCTTTTGTGCTGCTGATTTTCCTTAGCTGTCTGACTATTCTTGAATGTGTGTTTATATTTAAATCTTTATATTTAAAGATGTGTGGGTGGTGTGGATTTCCTCTGCTGAGCATAGGTGGGCCAGTTTCAAAGACTGGCAGTCTGCTTTAGGGTCTGTGTAGAGGAGGGAGGAAGAGTGACTGTGTCCCAGTGCTGGAAAGGCTAAAGGTGCCAAAGTACCCCCATCCACACCAATTCTCCTTAAACAATTAATGTGATTTTTTGTTTGTTTTGCTTTGGTAAATGCAAGCCTGTTTCATGTTCTGAGCAAGATGTGGGAGAAGGGGAGAAGAATCTTGACTATAAACTGATCTTCATGACCTCCCAACTGGGCTCACTGTGTTTGCTTTCTCCCCACCTGTGTAGGCCCCTTTTGGGGTGTTCTGGGCCACCACTCTATCTGTTACCATGCTCGAATCTAATAGGAACCTGTTGAAGTCTCCTCTGCTGGCCTTTGTTGGCTAGCCACACAAAGTTCTCTCAGAGAAAGAGGAGGAGGCTGGGCCCTGGAAAATGCCCAGACTAACCCCCTCATGTTACATACTGAAGAAACTGAGAAGGTTGGAGTGGTGACAGGACTCTTAGGTGTAGACATTGTCTTCTTGCTGTTCAGGGATCTGGGAGCTGAGGTGTGGTTCCCATAGGGCCAGTGTGGGCCAACTTGGCTCCTGCAAGCAGGTGGAACCACAGCATGAGCCTATACCCCCACTCCCCTAGGGCTGGGGAGAGCTAACCCTGCRTAGGCATGTTGGATGCCATATACTTAGGGGGTCCAATGCCAGGGACCACCAGTCCTGGCCCATATACAAACCATATACTCTACAACTTCTATGCTGGAAATGCTGCTGTTTTATCCTGGGAGCTGTCATCTGCTTCCATCCCAAGTGTGGCGGCTGGGAGGCCATGGTTCACCTTCACCTTTACCCTGATGTATTTGACACAGAAGATGAAGAAGACAGGGCAGGGGGCATTGATGAGAAGTCATAGTAAATGAGATGGAGTGGAGCAGGAGTGTAGGGATAGAGAGCCACTCTGGGGGATGGTGAGTGGACACACCTTGGCCATGGGGGAGGGCAGGGACACATACAGAAGATCCTAGGTGTCACTGTGCACGCTGAGACTGATCCTCTGCTTCTGTCGCCCCACAGGTGAGAGGCCCTTTGCCTGCAGCTGGCAGGACTGCAACAAGAAGTTCGCACGCTCTGATGAGCTGGCACGGCACTACCGCACACACACTGGTGAGAAGAAGTTCAGCTGCCCTATCTGCGAGAAGCGCTTCATGCGCAGCGATCACCTGACGAAGCATGCTCGCCGCCACGCCAACTTCCACCCCGGCATGCTGCAGCGGCGTSGCGGGGGCTCGCGGACCGGCTCACTCAGCGACTACAGCCGCTCTGATGCCAGCAGCCCCACCATCAGCCCAGCCAGTTCACCCTGAGCCCCACTGGACCCACAGCAGCACAGCCCCGCCAGTCCCTCCGCCAGCCCCGCGCCCAGCCAAGGACCCCTACCCTGACAACAGCCATGAGCAGCCGCTCTCACCTCCTCTTTGTCAGTCCGTGCCCTTTCCTTTTGTAATAAGAAAAAAAGAGCAAGAACTTCATGAAAAGTCCACGTAAAAACACTTTTCTTCACCTCAGGTGTCAAAGTCAATTTGTTTAAAAAAAAAAAAGCAAAACAAAAAAAAATCAAAAGAAGAAAAAAACAAAAAAAAATTTCAAAAAACATCATCCACAAATTGCACAATGGAGATACCCACAAAGTTGCGATTCAGCGGTGTCGAACCCCCTTTCTCAGGGATGGACACGTTCCACGAGGTCAGTGAGGGCACCCCTTCCTGCCGCCTTACTCTGTACATAGATTTGCACTCTGGAATTTTCTWTTAGGTTTGGGAACACACTGGGGACAGAGCAGGCCAACCAGTGCAGGTGGAGCTCAGCATGCATGTGGGTCAGTCCATCAGCTGGRAGTAGATGTGGTCACTGACATTTGTGATTCCAAGGCAGATCTTTTAGTGGTGAGGCGTGTCCTCCCCCTCCCTTCTACCCATCCACTCAGCCTCCATCCTTGGCCACATAGGCTTGGCTCAAAATGCAGATGGGTCTGAGRGACAGGCCACCTAACRAGGGATGCCTTAAGCCATGACAGGTCAAAGGAGCACTCCACTTGGGGGAATTGTGGAGAGTGTCATCTGCCCTCCATGACTGGCACTGCCTGTCTCACTCCTTACCTTCAGGAGCCCTCTCCTGGGCCCCTTGGAAARATGGAAGCAGAGACGCAAGCCCTGGCTGGGCACAACATCACACCATCCAATCTCTAAGGAGACAGCCTGGGTTCCACCTGTCTGGGCCCCCACTGCCCAACAGACAGCACCAGGGACCCTTCACTATTATACCATATTCTCTGACTGGAAAATAGAGCCTGGGAATTCTGGTTTTCTAAAATGATTTTATGAAGTGTYGGTGTACCCAGTTCCCTAGCTCTCCCATGCTGCTATGGAGTCACCTTTGTTTGAAACAGTGGGCAAGACCATCATGTTGCTTTCTCAGTCAGAAGGTCTATGTGAGTGGCCATGTGTGTGCATGTGTTTGCAGCACTTCACAGAGACCATTCAGTGGCAAAAGACCAGAACATTGTGACTCGGAACTTTTCAAGAGTGGCGCAGCCAATGTCATGGGAAGTGCTGTTGGAGAATGTGCATTCTCTTTTCTCCCCAGGGAACACCAGACGGAAAGTTGTGGGAAACACTTTTCTCAGACCCTTCATGTCTGGTGGTACAGACTGAGCAAACCTCCGGCTTCTCGTTGTCGCCAGAACTTATCTCCCTTTCCCTCTTGCTTCTGCCTGCCCTGCCTGGAGACCCCAGGCCACGCCTAGCCTGCATCGCCCCATTGCCAGCCTTTTGGTAGGGGAGGAAAAGCAGAGAGCTGAGGCAGTTTCTTATGAAGCCTTGACCTGGGCTGGGTTGGTGTTCGAGCCCCAGACCAGGGCAGTTAGGCTGGATCCCAGCAAGCACCTCTGCAGACCTGTGGAGTGTCCAGCCTAGCCCTGCAAGGCCCATGTTGCGCCTTGCCTTCCTTTCAAGGGTTGGGGCCTGTAAATACAAGGCCCCAGGACAGAGTGTGTGTGTGTGTGTGTGTGTGTGTGTGTGTGTGTGTGTGTGTGTATTGTGTTGGGATGAGTTGGGGTGAACTTGGGTTATAGTATCTTGCAGAGATCTCTCACTTTGATGAGGAATGGCCCTTGGGACTCAGTGGGCCATAGATGGGCTTCCCAGGCCCAGAGTGCCTTGGTTGTAGTCATTCTGCTTCCATCCCAGCCCACACATTGTGTGGGGTGCAGCACAGAAAAACCCCAGAGATCCAGGCCCAGCTGGAACCTGTAGCTTCGGGCTGATGTGTCATGCCAACTTCAGAGTGGATGGGTGCCCTCTATCTACAGCAGCTGTGCACGTGGCACCATGCCATCTGTGATGCTATGGATACCTGTTTCCAGCTCTACTTCTCTGGAAGTGGCTAATGGCATGTGGTGGCTTCTGTGTAGCACAGTAGGTACCCATTTGGTCTGTGACATTGTTTGTGCTGTGGGTGGGGATGGTGGGGCAGGGGCTATCTCGTTAGTGCAGATTCGGCCCCTCTGGCCCCCCTGCTGCCTTTGGGCCCTATAATAGCTCAGCTTGCATTTGGTTTGGGAGAGAGTAGAATATGTGGTATGGACCTTGAAGAAGAGAGCCCTGGATGCTGGGGATGTGGCAATCTTCATGTCTGGTTCCAAAGTGAGGTCCCTCCCAAAGTTGTTTCTGTGTGAGGCAGAGAAAGCCACACTCTGACCACATTTCATGTCTCAGGAATTCACATTCCAGGTTCAGGAATTTTATTCCAAAGTCCTTTGGTGCACCCATGTTTATGGTTCTGAAGGCAGGGAGAGGGAGTGGCATGTCCCACGCGGCCAGAAAAGCACTCTCCACTGGAGGAGCCAGGTGTCTCCTTGTGACTTGCCTACAGTGTCACAAGGGGTTTTCTAACTTCACATCTGTCTGCACATAGGAAGGGGAAAAAGAACTCTAAACCCAGTCATATTGGAATAAAAGAAAGAGCTGGTTTGTTTTAGAGTGGGGTGGGGGGTGGGGGAGGGAAAGTGGGATAGGCTGTTTCCAAAGAGAGCACTTAATTTAATTTTCCCTCTAAATGACCCAGGGCTGTTCCATCTGATAGATGGAAGGGTAATATTGCCTTAAAACAGAAATATGCAGGCATTGGCTATTTTTGGCAAATGAGTGTGTCTTCATTCCCAAAGTGGTTCTCCTGTAATGGCAGGGTGCGGTCCTTCAGCCATAGGCCTGGCCTGGGAGATGGGGGCAGGGCACCCGGAGGGAGTTCCCCCCTGGGCATCCTGGCTGCACCCTCCAGAATCATCTGGGGCTTAAATTCATCTCATTGAAGGGTGGGGGGAAGAATCTAAATCTCAGGCTCAGTTCACATGGGTTCTCATTAGCAGGTTTCCATCTCATCATGAAACGAGGGATGCCTTCTAAGATGTAGATTGTCTTTCCAGCCTGGGTCTACTTCAGGGTCTTTCATTTTTGTAGTTTATGGCCATGATTGCTGGTTTCAGTGGGATTAAGGAACCCATAGGGCTCCCAGAATAATAGTGAAAAATCAAATCTTTATTTGGGTACATACTTCAGCTCTAGCAGGCCACAGAGGCAGAGATCTCAAAATGAAGGGTGCCTGAGTAAAGGGAGAGTTTCCCTTAAATTAAAAAAAAAAAAAAAAAAAAAAAAAAAAAAAAAGACGTCTAAAAGGACTGGACCCAGCCATCAGAAGGCTGGTGTTCGGCTCATGTCCCAAACAAGAAAACCCCTTGTCAGCCATATTAGGGGAATGGTTGTAAACTCCCCAAATGCCTACTGAATCCTACAGCCATATGGAAAAACACACAAGACAGCCCTTTCCACAAAGGGCCTTGGGGTCCTCTCCTGATGGGTGCTACATAGAGATGGGCAGTGATGTCCTAGAAGAGAATGTGGTCCTGGATATGCCCCTATGCATCTTGCTGCACTCTCCAACCATGGGATTTGAGGTGCAAGATTGCCCCCCTCCAACACACCCACCTCTACTTTGAGGCCATGCATCGGGGTAGGTGCAGGATTTGCCACGGTGCAGCCTCCAGGTGCAGACCTCCGCACACTGGTGACCCCAGACCTCACCTGGGCAAGGGCTCAGATCCCTGGAGGATGATTCAGAGGTGAGGATGAGTAGAGAGGGTTGGTGGCTTTCTGAGGTCCTGAGTGAGTGGTAGAAGAACTACTAGGTCTTCATTCAAGATTTCTGTCTCCCAGTCATGTGGCCCAGCCTCTTTCTTGCCAGAAGCAGGTACTTAAATGTACTGCACAGGGTTTTAGCACTTCCTAGGACCTCATCCAGGCTCTCCGCTGGGCAGATACGCTACCCTACAGGAAGATGTGATCTGGGCAATAGTGTGGCCTCGTTTCTCAGCTCCTGTTTTTTTTTTTTTTTTTTTTTTTTAACAAGGCTACCTGATTATTTTGATTTCTGAGAGGTGTTACTGATTTTTTTTTTTTAAACCCATGTTTAAAAAGGCCATTTGGTCAAAACTGCTGGAAGTTTTAAAGAGCTTGATGTATTAGACACATTTTGAATGATAAGAAATGCTTAATAAGTTAACCACATCTTTTGCTACCCAATATTTCTGTATGTCATCCTGAAGACTATATCTTCCAAAGCTAAAATGCCGATGTGGGCTGATAGGTTTTGAAAGCTAAGTAGCCCCTGGAAGAGCCAGATCCTGTGGCTAATTTTCCTGATTCTGAAGTTTCAAAGATTTGTCCTGGACACATTCCAGAGAATTTTGTCTCAGAATTTGGATGCATAGTCCAGCTTACTACTGATAGATGCCTGAACACCATTGAGGGAGAGACCCTTCCTCCTGTTGGCTGGCTCTAGCCCTGAGAAGAGTGGAATCAGGCAGGAGCCCTGTGTCCAGGAGGGAAGAGGTTTCTACTAGCCCCTACCACTGTTGGACTTGCAGTGTAGCCACCTGGCTTTGCCCAGCCTCTCCCTTCTCAATACAGCTTTAAAACATTACTACTTTTATTTAAAAATAAACAGGATGGGAGAGAGGCAGCCTCCCCTGCCCTGCATCATACATTCCAGGATGGGGGCAGGTGGAATGGGACAGGAAGTCAGAAAGGGGACAGGATGGATGCACGTGCAACTTTCTCCTGGGGACTCTGGAGTCTTTTCTCACTGATGCCCTCCTAGAGGACCTGTTGACTGATTACTGCACATGCTTGTTTGGAAACCAGTGTGCAAGTTGAGTGCTTGCAGGAGACCATCACTGGTCAGTTTGTCCCTTCCACTCAGCACAGGAGCCTATTCCTTGTGCTTGGAAGATCCCTCTCCACATTTCCACGCTCCCCCTCTTCCCAGCTTGGCACAGGCACCATAATGGGGTGTTATCAACCCCAGTGTCTCTTCTCCAGTCAGTGTCTGTGGGTGTGTGAGTGGGAGACTTTTCCCCTCCCTCACCTGGGAGAAGCCTCAGGTGCCCAGTGCTGAGGACCCCCATCAATGTCAGCATGGGGCTCTCTACTGAGCAACTATGCATTGGTGGGTTTGGAGCTGCTTACTGTGGCTCCCTGGTGACCAGGAACTGCTTGGGTAGTTACACTGGGTACACCCAAGTGACCCTTTCCCACCCAAAACCATCGGTGGAGCTTCTGTGGAATCATTTGCCAAAATCCCAAGGCAGAATCCAAGGGTCCAACACCATTTCCATCGAGTTCACAATTTCC